CACCAGCCACATATTTACTTTTAGGTCTTTTGTCTCTTCATCGTTTGGTGCTGGGAAGGTAACGTAATTGAAGTTTCGCTAAGTCCCGCCCCTCGAGCCCACAAAACCAGTTTCAGGCTGGATTTGGAACTCGACACAGCTAAACATTGTGTAATAGTGATACTCGTTACTCAAAACATTACGTTTCTACGTAAAAACCTGTGGCGCTAACTTTAGAGCTAGAGTACATTAGCACATAATTAACTAGCATGAGCATGTCTATGCTACGCTAGCTGCTGAAGGTATACTGAATGTATACACATGCTGCATTGGCTTTCTGATGATTGTAACAGTGAATAAAGACCTACTCGGCTTTACAGGAACAGTGTTTTTCCTTAATTTCATTGTCTTCTGTCTCGATCACCAGGTGATGTGGTGGTTGACTTTAACACTGTGATGTGTAGACTTTAGCTTCTATCTTGATCTTCTTAACCTGTTTTCATTGCTGAATCAGTTTGACATCCTGGATATATCCTTCAAACGCATATTGTAGACTATTCAGTTTACTTCTTTCTGAAATTACTTTTTAGTTTTCACAAATATTTGATATATATTCAGGGAGTGCAGTTAGTGACAGTGTGGGCTCCATGGTGGCTCTGACAGGTTGAGAGGATGAGGTTGTTTAATACAAACAGTTGTCTGTGGCGTTATATCGGGATGTTGGTGATGAGAGAAGTGAGATTCAACTGTATCCTAAAAGGTGTGTTGAAGTGAAATGTTCGGTTTTTAATTCTCAGTTGATCTGGCAGTATTTACATGCCTTTCACTTTACTCATAAATCATTGCGTACCTATTTGAAGCCATGATTCAGGCAAATACATACACGTTAGTCTAATGTTCCCTCTGCTCTGTTTTGGTCGCTACCAAAGCTTTAACTTTGTCTTTATGTGTTCAACTTTCTCATGAGCTTGTCACTAGAACAATAAGGTTAAAGAGGCCAACAGTTGAAGATTTCAGGCCCATGCAGAACTCTAATAGTGACTCCTTTCACAGTACAGTCATTTTTTAATCCTTGTGAATATGTATTTAAAAAATGTAAACATCAGAAAACTACTGTCGAATGTATGAAAAAAAGGGTTTGTTAAAATATGCATTCAGGCGTTACACTGATCTGTATGAAGATGATATAAGCTCTGAAACAGAGTCACGTCTCCAGAAAATCCTCCATGGGGCTGTCACATTTGCATTCTCCATGTTTGCCAATTCAGTCTTGACGGAGCCGAACGTCTGTGCGATGTCACAGAAGCAGAGACCGGACAGGCTTGATTCTCACTACATGAGAACGAACAGGCAGATATTTCTTAATAAAATCCACATTTTATCCTCTCTAATATTGTTACTTCTGCAGACTCAAGATGACATGTCTCCCCGAAGACTAACTCATTACCTTTCCCTCCCTTGTCAACCATCAGCGCTAACAGCGAGCTGACAAACTGTCCTTTGGGCTGTTTAAACCCCGTCAAGACTCCAGCACACATCAGTCTTGTTTTTGCAAAAACAGCCAAACTGCCTCACAGAAAGCCCTTCAACACAGCCTCTCTTATCCTTTTTTTCTTTCTTTTTCCGTCATAGCACATGACTGGATGATGGAATAATTCATTTGGGGTCTGAGGCTGCATTATTGCGTCATGCCTTGAGATTTATTTATGACGTAAATGTCTAAGAAAAGACCAGAACAGCCCAGGAAGGCCTCAGCTCGTGTAAAAATAGAATGGCAGGCACAAAGCGATCCGGTTATATTTAGCAACACGCTCCCCTCCACTGCCAAGAATAGCAGGGGAGATATTTTCATTTTCATCCTAAGACTATTGCCTTGCACTCGCCAGAATGTTTCCATCCCTGTACTTTCTGAGTCGAGTGGACAGACGCTGCCTTCTGCAAAGGTTGGTGTATGTTTGTGTGCCGGCTGCGGGCATTTTTGAGGTGCATGTCATCAAAATTTTACACACTATTCCTTATTCCATTACTCATCTCCGCCTATTTTAGTGCTCAGGCATCTCGTATTTGATGAGCTGGTAAGGGGGAGCGAGGGAAATAAAACTGGGCGAAACGGCAGCTCGGAGACTGAAGTAGCTCCCCGTATCGGCTCAAGTGGTATTAGAATCATGCTGAGCTTGTTCACGTCTGCTTTATTGCTTTAGAGTCTTGGTGCTCGATGCAGGCGGTCACCGTAGAGAGAGAAGCTGGGATGTGTGATTCCCTGGGAGGTGCATTCTAAAAATACTTGTTTTTTTGTGGTCAGATGAGATGAAGCAGAGTCTGATGGAGCTGTGCAAAATTAATTGATCTGTTTTATGAGAAGCTACGTAGAAGGATACTGTCTGCCTTTATTTAGCTCCACAAATATACAAGATGAGATTAGATTAGCTAAATCAGTATCCTCTACAAAATAAAGACACTTTTATAGATTTGCTTTTATGTGGTAATGGTTTTAGTGCATAGATTGTGGTTTTACTGTTCACTGCTTGTGTTACTATTGTTTTAAGTGCAGCGGTTGTTACCATCGATCACACTGTTCTCATTAAAGGCATAGTTGGGCTTTTGGGAAATATGCTTATTCACCTCGTTGCTTAGAGATAAGATGAAAAGATCAATGCTAATACTCTCTCATCTGTCCGGTAATGATCACGCTGGATGGAAGAGATGATTAGCTTAGCTTAGCATAAAGACAGGAAAGCAAAAGGGGAAAGAGCCTTCCAAAGTAAAACTAGAATAAGCGCCTTGCGGCTGTACGCCTCAACCAACCAGTCAAGTCAAACCTACAGACCGTTGCAGGTTGGCTTGACTGCGTAGCTGCTTAGATGATGTAAACGATTGGATGTGCCATCATTTTTAAAAATCGAATTCTGACAAAACATAGGCTCTGATCATCGTCCGTGAACACATTAGTCCAGTCGTGTTTTATCAACTGAGGAATATTGTAAATTAGAAGGAAATTAGATCAATACTGTCATTTTGGACCAGAGAGGACGACGTGCTTTTATACCCTCACGCCTCGATTACTGTGATGCCTTTCTTACAGTCGAGCTCCCCAACAAATTGTACAGTGTAACAGTGAAATGCAGCTGCCAGACCACTGACCTGAAGAAATACTGTTTTTCACACATCACCCAATTTTGGCTTAATTTCATTGACTGCCAAAACCATTTTGAACTACTTTTAATCACATACAAGACCTTACATGGCCCGACGCCAGAGTATATAACTTACCTTCTGACCCCTTCATGTCCAAACAGGCCTCCCAGACTTTGAACTGTGCCCGAGTCCAAGTTAAAAACTATGATGATTGTTTTGATGTACAGACTCTGGAATAGTCGCCTCTGCTTTCAAATCTCGTCTTGAAACCCATTTTATAGAATAGCTTTCCTTCACAACTAATAGGTTTTCTCTCTCTTATTGTTAGATGTTTTTATACAGCAGTATTTACTGTATACACATTTTATTTCGTATATTCTTTTGTTTTGCAGCTGTTTTAATGCTGCTTATATCCTGTCATTGTTTTTTTTATGTTACCAACATAGAAGAGCGCACATATTTTCTATGATTTTTTAATTGCATGTGTTATTCTTATCAAAAGGTGCTAAACAAACTTGGTTATTGTCAGAAAGCCATTTTAGCATCCCTAGCAGCAAATACAACAGATGCTGACTTTGGTTGTGATTTTTTGATAAAACATAAACCCACCATGTTTTTGGTGTGTGTGTGCGGTTTAGAGTGCCAATTAAAGTTTCCGATTATAGCCTCAAGTGGGAGGCGACCGTACTAATATAATAATTCAACGTGAAGTTAAAAAATCGCATGCAGCTAAACACACAGAGCAGATAGCAATGAGACCTCATTAAAATCTTGGACAGGACTGGAACGACGAGGAAGAGAGAAAAGTCTACTGGCTGTAATTAGCACACTGCCACTTCTTTACAAAAGCAGCCCACGCTGTTAGCATGTCAGATCACTTCCCAACAGCGTCAGCCGATTGTTAAGCTTCTGTTCTGAAAGCGTGTCACGACGGCGCCAGATAAAGAAGAAAAACCTCAAGTGTCATAAAGAACCGTTGGATTGTGTCTCTATGAAGACAGGAGGCTAATACACTCACTCAACACTGCCTCTGCATCTCTCACTGGGAGGTCAGTTCAGCAAAACCACTGATTGAATTAAATGTGACGCACAAAATAAAAGATTCACATGTGATGCTTTCGTGCATCTTTCTGGAGGTTTGATTTCCTGCACCACAAAGCAGACGCTCCCATGACGTTCTGTTATTTCTGCTTTCTTTGTCACTCTCTTGATGCTCCACAAAGTAGTAAATAATGAAGCAGAGATCCCATGAAATGTGAGCGTACAAAGAATGTCATCGTCATATAATGTAAAAGGTGAAAGGCCTTCGAGGGATCGTTCAAGTGTGAACTCCAGACGGCTCTATGTGAGTGAGACACCTCCCGATAGCACCTCCCGACAGCACCTCCACCCACGTCTGACTGCTTAATGAACTCAAACCAAAAAATCCATGGGAGTTTAAATGCAGACCCGTTTTTATTAGTTGCTAAAACATTGAGATTTCGTACGTACAAAGTTTTCACCAACAGTCAAGAAATACTTTTAAACGGAAGCCAGTTTACTCCCCTGCATGTTGTTGCTCTCTACAGCAGCCGGAGGTAATTAAATGCTTTACCTGGCAGAGTTTATTACGTGTGCCTTCCTGTTATTCAAATCAAATCAAAAGCATGCACTAGTGATGTGCACCAGTTTGTTCTTCAGAGAACCTGAAAGTAGTATTAAAAACACAGCTTTTACACACCTCCTCCATTACTGTGTATGTAGTGTGTTACAATGGTGCGTGGAGAGGAACTTTGACCTGTGTTTGGTATTTATTATTTTGGTCTTTTTGTGTAAAATAATAACCAGCCTTATCTACCGAGGCGGCAAAAGAAGACGCTAGATTTTTTCCTCGAAATTCAGGCAAAAGGGAGGCTGATTTCTCAGCCAGGTTTGGAGGAGTGTTTGGAATAGGACAGCCTGTCACCCCGTCATAATGCAGTAGATCTTGAGATGCTCACTTTAAAAGGTGCAATGGTGTGAAGTACATCTATTCCAGTGCGCTGGCGCTGTTTGAACCGATTTTACTGGCATCGTCATCCAGGACAGGTGTCTATCAACACGGAGAGCATCTCTGAGAAGAGGATTTTTGTCGGTAAACGCACTAAAATGTTAAAGATAGGCACCAAAAAAATCCTTATTGGCCAAAAATGGGTTTTAGTTGAGGGTCTTTTTTATAGTGTCTTGACATTCTGAGGATCCAGTGATCAACCAAAAACAACACAAACAAGTTTGATATGAATATTTATTTAAAGACTTCAATTCTTACAGAAATAGTCATTTTAAATCAATCTTTCGTGGCTTTCATATTTCCTATTAGAACAGTAAAACCTGTGCTGTCTTACAATAACCCCAAGAACTGATATTTAGTACATATTATTCATCGATGGACAAATCGTTTTTGATTAGTGTAATCACAAGCATCATGCAGAAGCCGTGAATCACTTTTTTTGAGGGCTGATGAAAACTGGATTCATGAATTTGGGGGTTTCAGTTTATGATGAAATCCAGATCGGTAGTAACTTTAAAGACGGCTGTTTATAGCTGGGCAACATTATTCTCAGCTCAACGATTCTGTGTCTTTGTTGAGAGCGAGACAGCCCAGTTTTTGTGTTTTTCCCGTTCGGATCACTCTCCCTCTTATTCACATCACTTCAACCACTGGGTTTGAGAGAACAATGCTGTGACATGACGTCTGATGAGTGGCTGTGCATCAGCATACCAAAAAAAAAAGTCTTCAAAAGAAACATCTGAAGGCATTGCACAATTTCAAAATTGACGAGTGAGACTTTTAAGGCAAAAAAGTTGTCTAAAATTAACACGTAATGATGTCATATTACAATTATTTTTGAAACCCACTGATGCATCTCTGTTAGAAAAGAAATCTACGCATGCAAACTTAATGCATGCTATCAAAAAATAATAAAAACAGAGTAAAACAGGATATTCATCACGAGCATTCGATTAAACCACTTTGTTAATATCGTAAAGGTACAGTAAACCACTTTCATGTTGAGTGCGTGAAGGTTACGTGGCCGTTCGTGTGGCCCGGCATGCTGACACGACGCCTCCTCGGCAGAGTGACACGGATGCAACGATGAGCGGTGGGAGGCAGCGAGGTGTAAGCCGACTTCATTAAAGCTTGTTTGTCCACCTATGGCACAGGGTTGTTGTTGTTTTTCCCCGCCTTGTAGTCTCCTACACAATAAATGCTTTTGATTGTCACTCCTACGCTGACGCAGAGGAACAGTGATTTCACACATCGCAGCCGCATGTGACAAAAAAAAAAACCCCTTATGGGTTTATGTTAAGACTCCCAACTCCACCGGGCTTCTGTGCAAACTGTATGTTCTATTCCTCGTGCTGAGGGAAAGAGAAGCTCTACATGCTGTCACATATTCATACTGCACAGCAGAGAATAATATCGGTCCTCTGGTCGTATGATGTGGCTGAGCTTCTCAATCCCTTATGGGGCCGATCTTTTTGTAATTGTTTTTTCGAATCAAAAAATCAATTGACCGTTTGTTAAACCTCTACCCGGATCAGTGATTGTCCAAAAGCAAAAGCAGGAGCCAAAGTGTGTAAAATGTAGAAATGTGTAGATGGTTTGTCTATTGGTTCTGCTATCGTTACCTTGTCTAGTTAACCAGCTGACAGCTGACAGTAGCAATTGATCACTATCATCAACTAACTTCATTAGGTTTTGGGGTCACAAGTTACGGTTACATTTGAGGAAGTTCACGCTCAAACAACTCCAACAATATTCCTCGAGATAACGACACATCGGTTAGCCTCTAGGATGAGGACGGATTTTAAACGTTATTCTTGTTAAATTGATGAAATTATACTGTTTGAAGTACGTAAGCTTAGCAGCCAAACACGGGTGTGTTAGAACCAAATAACTGATTCTACACTTTTCCTTATCTTAGTATCTTATTAGCGTTAACTAGCTCTACACCGCAATACAAGAAAAATACTGTTTCTTTATTTTCATGTTGAGTAAATTTAACTTTTAACTGTTCGCTTTAGTCTTCTGATGGTATATCATGGCTGTCAGCCTGACATTGCATATTCAAGACCATATAACTTTAGCTTAATTCGCTACAGGTAAAGCTAATTAGCACCTACAGCTGATGATAGCTTCTAGAGACAGCTGTCAAAATCGATGGTTAGCAGGAAAAAATGAAAAGCGTGACAGCCTAAAGGAGGATGAAGATTAGCCAACGGTCAACCGGTTTCAATATCGTTAATCGTCGTTATCTCGGGTTAAGGATGTTGTGTTTTCGGTCACATTTGGCAACGTGACAAGTGTTTCAACTGTTTTTTCATGCTGCACTTTGTACAAACAATCTTAAACATCTGGATCCAGATCCAGATTTTAGAGTTCTGAACAGTTTCTATCATCAAAAGAAAAAACTTTTAGCTTGTAAGGGATTGCACAGTCTTGGCGAGAATTTTGGTTTCAAAATAATCCGTTTGGAGTTGCCTCCAAGAACTTGAAACAGAATACAACGTCACATCCTGGACCTAAAAATGTGGTCACAGGACATAAGAAGTTGAGAGACTCTGCTTTTAAAGCTGTTAATACTCACGCTGTAAATGTCACGTTTGTGAAACCACTGTTTCTCTGAGAAAACAAGCACAAAAAAAACCCTTAATCTTCACTCAACCCTGGCCTTGTTATGTAAGTGTCATGCATGTTTCATATACAAATACATGTACTGGATGTACAGCGTATACGAGAGTGTGGGTGTGAGATGAAGTTGACATCGTGTCGTGATATATAAATGAAAGGCCCTGCCTTGTGTTTCAGGAGGAGAGTCACAGAACGTTCCTGCCTGATCTGGTCTGATCCGGCTCAGTCTGATGCTGCTCCAGTCCAATACCAGACCTGAGACCAGTGCTACATTGTGCAATCCGCCATCAAACAACAACACTGAAGAGTACAAAATCTACCAGAACACCCGTCCCCACACTGAGGGACCCTATTCAGTTAAACTGAACAACCAGCTTTTTCAGAATGAGTTTCGGGCCAACGATGAGACACTACACTTAAAGGGATAGTTCGTATTGTTTGAAGTAGGGTTGTATTAGGTGCTTATCCAAAGTCAGCGTATCAAATACAGTAGATGCCGGTCGTCACGGCCCCAGTTTGGAGAAACAGGCGGTAAAGCGATGCACTGCTGTGAATGGAGGGCAGCAGCAAAATGTATTTTAGACACCTTTAATAAAAACAATACAGTGTAAACTGCTCATAGAGAAAACAGTGATCAACCGCTTTATATGAATCGAAAAGCTTGGGACAGAATCAAACCTGTGCAAATGTTAAATAATTTGCTTTTAGTTATCAATTCATCCACTTACAACGTTCGTTTTGGGTCTTTTTTTCATACATGGGACATTTTTTTTAAAACTATGACGCTAATTGTGTTATTGTGTGACACAATGAGTTAATAACACACAGAAAATAAAATCGAGGCAGCTGTGGGCCAGCAGCTAAAATGACTGATTTTGTCAATGGAGTCTTTGAAGAGAGCATATATAACGGCTTCAGTTCTCCGTCATAAAGGGCTGTCTTCGTGCATGGAAAGTAATCTAGTTATAATTTTAGATTTTTTAAGTGGCTAAACTACATTGTTGCTTCTTCCCCCGTCCACAGCGGTACATTTCTTTGCTCCTGTGCTGGTCCTCTCGTCTGTTTCTCTAAACTGCGGGCGCGTCGTTCGCCTCGTACAGCCCCACTTCAAAACATCTGAAACTTTCCCTTTAACAATGTGTCAGATTTGGCAGGTAAATGTTGCTACGTGGTGTACTTGATCACCGGGTCTACTGTTAAACATTATTATCCAACCATTAGCTTATAAAAAATACAGGCCTGTCGTTCATGATTTAAATATGAATAACTTATGTATAAACATGAATAAGGCCTGTTAGTCATGATTTAAATATGATTACAGGCCTCAGTATAAAATGTAATACTTATATCAGCAGTCAAGAAGCAGCATTACATATACAGTATATTGTCCAATACACAAAAAAGGCAAAAATTTGTACAGTGTATAAATATCTGAGAAATGTTTTACAAGCAGTTTATAAGTAGATATCTTAATGAAGCATCATCAGCCAAGAAGTATAAGATGATTTTGAGGCGTAAGTTTAGAAAAATGATGTAAACCTTCTCTCACATTGATTCCTTGACTGAATAGGGCCCGAAAAAGTTTGCAGTAAAGAGAGTCAAATGTATGATCGCTGTTCTTCACACATTTAGTTAAAAAGGGGCCTGTGGTTTTCTGGCAGGAAATGGTTTGTGCTTTTCTTAAAGTCACACTGTAAAGTTTTCATGTACACGCTAATGGGCAAAACAGCAGCAAGGTTGCGTTTGAGTTTCGCCCCAAAACTTGGCTAAAAGTGGCAGTGCAAGGACCTGTTTTGGATTTGAGTATTTCCCCCGTTTTTAAAGGATAACTTCCCCCGAACAACTAGGTTTTGAATATCAAACACTCAACACCTGTAGACTCTGGAACGTTTGCGGTCTGCTCTCTTGCAGAAGACATTTACAATGGATTCCAGTGGAGGTTAAAAAACGTCAAATATACTGTTTTGCAGCCAAACTACATAATGTAGCTCCACTTGACGGACGTAAACAGCTTCCATTTGTTGATAACATAGTTAGCTGTGTTGAACTTTTATCTTTTTTTCCCCGCCATGAACTGGGTCGATATTATCCTAATAATCAGACTACATGTTGTTTTCACTTTATCATTTAATAAACGTTGCTGAACAGTGATTGGTACTGTAGATGGAAGTTTGTGGCATTAAGTCTTCCCGACTAAACCAGTGAGAAGAGCACCGACAAAACAAAAACAGAAATCTCAGAAAGCCGTTGTGGAAACAGGAACACAAGAATCCATTATAAGTGTTGTGAATCTAAGCTGAGACCTTCAGGAGGAGAGTTTGATACTGAAAACATTGTTTTGTTTTCTGGTGACTGTTCCTTTAAGGAGGTGATTAGCGACATGCTACTGAACTAAACCGTCGGGGATTATAACAGATTTTAGTTGCAACATTGTTGGACAACATGGAACTACAACAGAAACAACTCAGTCAAAGTTCCTACTTTGATCCATAAGGGTCGCTGCTAAAATAAAAGCAGCTTTGCATTTTGGTTGGTCGGCTAACTGTTTCCTGTGCACATATTCACAGTGTGTTGCTAACACAAAGGTGTGAGTCACCTGATCTCACAGCTACCGAAGTCCTTTAATTCTCAACCTACAGTTCGGCAAATATTTCATGATGTGAGAAAAAAAACTGGGAACCCTACAGACTGACACGCCGACATGTTGTTATTTAAAACACCTTTTTTTTTTTGGCAATACTAAACAAAGTGAGAGGTAGAGAGACGTAAAAAAAAAACTTCTGAAGAACAATGTTGTTCCATGGAAATAAAAAGAAGACGTAACTTAACACACAGTCAGGTTCGGTAGTAAGAAGTGTGTTTTTGACTTCTGGGCTTGGAGATCCACATTTCCAGAGCCCATGGTGGACACGGTGCCCGTGAATGCTATCTGACTAAAGAGTAAGGCTGCTTCAAGTACCTGCTGCATTTGATTTGACCCGACTTCTCAGGGAGCACAGCTTCCATCGTCAAGACCGGTGGACGGAGCAGAAGGTAGGAGGAGTGTGGGAAGATATCAGGCGACGGGTTTGTTCTTAATGGAACATGGCAGTGGTGGTGATGGTGAGTGGGGGGGGTGTTGTGTGTGATGGACAAAGCCCTGAGTGCAGGACAACAGTGCATGCTTCTCTTAAAACTAGCACATGCTCCATTTATGAAAAAAAACTAAAACATACACACTCTGTAATGAAGAATGTGGCACCAGGGCCTAAAACGCTTTTGTACAAAGTCACAACTTCCAGGTTCTGCGGCCGAAAAATAGGAATCTGAAAGGTTTTCACATTGATTGGTATAAATTTCCTCCTGAAAAAAATGCTCCAGTCCAGTCCTCAATTTTGTAAACATTTGAATATTGAGAGACATGATTTTGTGAAAGATAGAGGAAGTGGAAATAGAAATAGCAAATGATCAATCAGTGTTTCAATCTGACAGCTTCATGTAGTCTGTTTCCTCTCCCGTCCACGCGTCCTGGTGGAGGTAGATCTCGGACCCTTCCCCACCACGACCCTTTAAAACCCCCAACCTTCATCCGCTACGGAAAAAAGGTCCCTTCCTCTAAAAAGTGGAACCCACTCTGGGTTATCCACATCATGGCCCTCGGCTCACGGTCAAATGTTCCCGACAGAGAGAGAGAGAGCGGGCGAGGTCCGCCGTGTGCTCAAAAGCTTCCAGTGAAGAGTAGGAAGAAGAAGAAGCAGAGAGATGAGAGTAGACCAGCAGTGTCGGCCGGCCCGGCGTCAAAAGCGAGGCCTCCGCCTTTAGATTCGGCTTACCCGTCTGCAGAGGAGCGGGTGGAGAGCCGGTGGAGGACAGGGGGTGTAAGGAGGAGGCAAGGGGCCGGGTTTGATCCCTCGGGTCCTCATGTAGGACAGGAACTGGTCCGGGATTTCGGCGAGCACCTCCTTAGCCAAGCGAGCCATGCTGAGGATGTGGTTCCCCCGTCGGTCAATGTAGTCTCTGAAAGGAACGAACTGTGGAGAGGAGAGGAAAGGAAACGAGGTGAGGAGAGGAAAACCATGAGAGGAGATAAGGGAAGGAGAGAAAACAGAGTGAGGAGAGGAGAGGGAAAAAGAGGAGGAGATGAGGAGAGGAGATGAAACCATGAGAGGAGATAAGGGAAGGAGAGAAAAACAGAGTGAGGAGAGGAGAGGGAAAAAGAGGAGGAGATGAAACCATGAGAGGAGAGGAAACAAGGAGAGGACAAAAGGAGACAAGAAGCATAAGGTGAGGTAGAGAGAGGAAAAAAGAAGAGCAAACAAGGAAAGGAGAGAAAACAGAGTGAGGAGAGGAAAAAAGATGAGGAGAGAACAAGAAACAAGGTGAGGAGAGGAAACAAGGAGAGGAGATAAGGAGACAATAGGACACAAGGTGAGGAGAGGAGAGGAAACAAGCAGAGGAGAGGAAACAGGAAGTGGAGAGGAGAGGAAACCAGAGCAGAGATAATTAAAGGAGAGGAAACAAGATAAGAAGAGGAGAAGAAACCAGGAGGAGACAAGGCGAGGAGAGGAGAGAAGAGGAAACAAGGAAAGGTGAGGAGAGGAGAAGCAACAAGGATATGTGGGGACAGGATAGGAAATGAGGAAAAGAGGAGAGTAGAGGAAACAGAGAGAGGAGAGGAGACAAAGAGTCAGAGGAGGAGAGGATATAGTTGGATAGAATTTCAGAAAAGTGAGTGAAAAGGACACAGAGGAGAAGGTTGGATGTGGTTCAGCGGAGCGAGACAGCGGGAGGAATATAGAAACATGACCGACTGAGAACAAGAGCACAGCAGAGGGTCAAGCACGTTGACCTTTTTCCCATTAATCATAAATCCCACATTTCTCTGAAGACTTTCTGCTGAGCTCACAGCCTCACAGCCTCTCGGCCGTGTGTCTTCTCTGTGAAAACACTCCGTACCTGAACGATGTCCCTCTCGGCGTATCGTCCTTGGGATGAGATCCTCTCCTCGTCCCCGTCCAGCTCGATCATTTCTGGGGAGGGAAAGCACACCGGTCACGCCCTGTCGAGGGGGGGGGGGGACGACTCGATCCACGCCGAGCAAACACGACACGCACTTTAGTGTGTTTTAATCCGCCGGAGCCATTACCATGCCACTGGGTTACATTTCCTCGGAGTGTTGGTAATGCCAAACGTGGCATGAGTACACAGGGCTGTGCACAAAGAGGATGGAACATGCTAGAATATGTGTAAGCAAGAGCCAACCATGTGCACCACGGGGAACGTCATGCACACTGACTTCATAAGCGTGACAGGAGTCAAAAGTTTTTGTTTTTTTTATACAGAGGTACTGCTCCGTGAATTGTAAACACGACAAAAACAGGAGCGAGGTGAGAGAAACATGGCCGTCGTCAGATGAAAAAAAGACTTCCACTTAACCTCAGGGTCAGAGAAGGAGGAGGAAGGAAGAAGAAGAAGAGGAGGAAGGAAATTAAGGGGAAGGAGAACGAGAGGAGAGAAGAAAAGAAGAGCCGCACAAGGAAGGGCTGAGCCATGTGGGAGGCGAGATAGGAAGTAGAATGAAGTCAAAGGATTACTGCATGCAAATAAACACACATGCATGTAGAGCACACACACACACGCACACACATGCACACACACACACACACACATGCACGTGATCACTCTGCTTACCGTCAAATTCCGCTGGTCCGACCCCGACTATTATAATTGACATGGGCAGAGACGCAGCCTGTTACGGGTGGAAGGAGACACAAAAATGGCTCATCAAAGGCGGGAGGGAAGGAAGCCGCGTTCTTTGTTTTCACCACTCGCTATCTGAAACGCCGCAGGCTGTCGGTGAAATGCCCCTGCCAATTACTGACTGTAAGCTAACAGGCCCATAAATAAAGGAAGCTCAATGGCAGAATTCAACACCATTGTTAAGACAGTCCAAATCCATCTGGCCTCTGAAGCCGGTTTCATAAAGCCTCTCATCCGGACGGAGTTTTTTCTCATTTCATGCATCTACAACTTTGTCTAAATCTCCCAAAGCTTCACGGCTTCAGAAATGACTCCCATTTACATCTTCCTCTGCCCCTGAGCTGCAGCCGAACATCCGCCCGGCGCCGCAATAATGTTTATTAAATCCTAGCCGAGTGGGACGACAGAGTACAGTTCAAGTGATGAATGAATGTTTTAGTGTTTCATAACTTCCCTTGGTTATTAGATGAACACCCCCCAAATTGCTTGAGATATGAAGGGGGCATGGATCCTCTGTCGGCCAGTAAATAATTACTCCTGAATCTTACTTTACAATAACATTACATCACATGGAGGCGTGGGGGAGGGCTGTGTGATGAAGGGCCACGAGAGCACTGAGGCTCCAAATATATGAAAAAAATCGTTACACATCACGTCTGATCACTCTAATTAGAAAGCATAGTTATTAGAGCTGAACGTAGCGGGGGGTGACCGGTTTCGACCCCTCACTCCCCTTATTAGTGAAGATGAGCGAAAGGGAGAGAGGGAGGCACTAAAAAGTGAAGGACAGCTTTTCATTTCCTCCCTCTCATACGGTATGTGCATTGGTGTTTTAGACTTCATTAGAGGCTTAATCACAACTGGACCTCTGGGGCTCCTCACACGCTTTACAGTGAATTAACGGAGGAGATGTGAGCACACGGTACACGGACTGCTGCTGCACGTGAAGCCTTGATATGCATTCGTTAAAACCATGTCAAAAAAATAAATAATAAAAAATGCCTTTGCAACTCAAATTCTTACCAATAAGAGCTTGGACAATACAAACATACAGTACATAGATTGAGTCTAAATCTGGTACTGTACATTGACTATGGACTCCTTCGTCTGCGCCATGTCCGTGATCACGCCATCAGAGATGATGAGCAGGATGAAGTACTGTGAGCCGTCCGTCACTGCTGACGCATACCTGGCATGAAGAGAGAGGGGGGGGGAGGCTGGGTGTCAACGGTCAAATAGGCACAATTAGAGAGCAGAGGCTCTTCTTTTAGCATTATATTCAAATTAAAGGGGATATAGACTTCTCTTTTCTGCTAACATCGTCCTCTTTATTCATTTAGGAAAGGGCACTCCGTTGATTCAACACATCACGACCAATTAACTGTTGGCACCGAGTACAACTCAACCTTTGAAACTTAGTATAATGTCTTCTGTGTCTCTGGAGGAGCTTTTTTTTTAAGTCTGAGAAGACTCTGAAGATGTTGTCCCAGGAGGAACAGAAAGCCTGAGTTAATAACTGCAGGCACAGAGTTTACAGACACGCAAGGAGGGTATATGGGAAAAAAAGGGTTGCATTATGGGAAGTGTAGGATCCAGTGTTTGACACAAACTCTGGAGTACAAGTGAGGACATCATTCTTTATTTCTGTCTGTGTCACTCAAGTCCGCCAACTTTATGGAGGTACGAAATGAACTCGCTGGAGTTTACGCCCGTCTCAAACCACCGTCATTGCTGCTGCAGTTTAGATATTAGAGAGTGTCCCGTGTGAGGATATTACCCCTCAGAGATCACTAAAACATTGGGGACAAAATGGTCCAATTACTGCGTAGAGTATTGGAAAAATGATTTTGAGATTAAAGTCTAAATGTCAAGAATACAGTCAAACTTTCAGTTTTAGTGCCAAACTTAAGAGAAAGTAATTCAGAGGAGGAAGTTTTATTTAATTTCTTGATTAAGTCGAGTTAAAAAACCTGTTCAGGTAGAAAGTAAAAATGTTGAGAAAGAAATCGAAATACTGTTCGAGAATGAAGTCGAACAACTGTCGAACTATACTGAAATTTCGACTTCATTCTCAAAATTAAAAATAAATTTCTATTTAATTTTTGTCCTCATGCCTGACCTTAATACTCTTTAATAAATCACAGTATCGGTGCTGTGTCATGTAACATGTCAAATTTGTGATAATTAAGATTTTTGGTATTTAAAGCATTAAGTACATAGCCATGTGTGTGTGTGTGTCTTTTGATGTTAAATAATCAAGAGCTGTTTTTATAACCTTTATTTAAACGGGATGTATTAACGAGTGAATCATGATTCTTTGGTCTATTTTTCAGCTCTGAACTAACACTTATAGCAGTTTTATGTTACATATAAACCAGAGTTGAATGTTTGAAGGGACGTCACAGGACAATGTTTTGAGAGTGCATGTTAAATAACACAATCAGACAAATAGGAATCTGACGTGACTTGGTGTCACTTTTTTTCTTTTAGTGATGTCTTCCTGGCTTTTAGTCAAACGCTCCAGAGAAGTGAGCGCTGAACAATGCAGCTATTCTCAGGTCGAGTGGGCGGACGGAGAAGGAGAGCGAGAGAGATGGGATTTGAAAAAGCCAGAGATGAAAGTGGGAAAAGCGCTTGTTACAGTCAGTCTCGAGGATCATGACACGAGATCCTGTGATAGTGAACGTCAGATGGAGGCCGGAAAATTCTCAACACGTCACTCTTTATCAGGGCTTATCAGTGTAAACGGAGAAAGTGCTTCTAAAAGTTGAAGGTAGTATCTACCAGAAGTGTCTATTATTTGTTTTAAATATTTAAAACAGTGGAAGAGCGGCTTATTTTTATTCGTTGCTCCAATAAAAATGTAACTGCAATCTAAGGCCCACGTGTCTCTTGCTAATGGACTTTTTTAATAGTGAAGCTCTGGTTTCTACTTGTGCCTACGAGGATTCATTAACTGTTTATTTGTGAAGCGGTGGGAGGTGAGACATTTACTGTTACTCACAGCACCGTCTCTTCTACTGGGTATTTTATTTTCTGGTTTCCTTGGTGCCTGGTCCTGCAACTTAAGGCAGCAGATCAATCATCCTGCAGACTGCTCACCCTCTAAAACACTGTCATGTCCAAACCACCACTGAAAAACAGTGAACGTGTTGTGTGGTGATTGGATCGCTCAAATCCCCGTGGAGAGTTTGGTCAGAACTCTGGGCTCAGTTCCTTTATTTAAAACGCTGTATGGTGTATTTAACTTGAGATGATGGGATACACAGAATACAACAATATAGGAATATCTATAGAGATACGTACTATTCCTTTAATAAACATATTGCTTTACAGCTGTTATTAGTGTCTATTTATCTCATTGTTCTAACTCACATGCTGCCTCTATAAACATTAACATAGGAAAGAAAATGAAATGAACATAATAATAATGATAGTCACTATTTCTACTCTCTCTCCACGCTGTTAGCGAGCTGGTCTTATTGTGCTTTGTTGCTAGGCAGGATTCAGATGGCCTCTTTAAACCGCAGTGTGTAGTGATTCCTCTTGAAGAGACAGAGTTATTAGCACATTTATTTTAATCCCACTCCCTTTGTGTCACGGATGGCTGTCCAGCAGCCCCCCCCCCACACACACCACACACACACACACACACACACACACGACTGAGATTCCACCATAGACGATTTGATCTTACGTGGATTTCCTCGGTAGAACTGTAAATGAAGCGGTGGCATTGTACTCCCATGTTCCTGGTGGATGGCTGTGATTATAGTGGACCTACCTGGCCACGTGGTTAATAACGGGGGAGAAGTGGGTGGGTCCGTAGAGACGCACAGATTTCAGACTCTGGTAATAGGCCTCCATCACCCCCTCGATACCGCTGCAGTACGGGTTCTGTGGATTGCCGTTCTGCACAAAACCAGAAAGACAAAACAAAGACTGTAAATGAGTGCAGTAGAGGATAACTGAACTGCAGATGAATGCAGGAGACCTTGGGCTGTCCCGATTTTTTGAGTTATTTTGTGGTAAACTCCGACTTTGACAAGATAGCTGAGAGGAGCCATAACTCTTTATGACTTTGTCCTCATGGCGGCTCATGCGTGACTAAACTAGCGGGACGACACCGTGCTGCTTTTGATGTGTGGATTCACCTTCCTTCTACCAGTACTGTAATAAAACACATCAATTTAAGACAATGGAGATTACAAATGCCACTAATCATTCTGTTTTTCGTATAATTTAAAAATTAAGATATTTCATATGCAAAGTGTCCTTGGACGTTCTTCGTACCCCATGATGTGACATAAATTCACGACGGCTATTTTAAGGTATGTATATTCATGGCGGATGTGTCAGCTTTGTCTATTAATCCCTGTGTCAGTAGAAACTCTGTTGAATCAGGGATAATATTTCCATAAAATGTCTTTTTGCAGCTGCTGCAACACAATTGTGCCGAGTCAGGAGAGCTTTTGGTCTTTATTAATCTCACTTTGTACTTTTTTCTTATGTATCGAGGCATGAGGTATGAGGTTGTCTATGAGTTTGATTGCACTTTAATGTCATTTCTGGAACTCTAAAATAGCAAAAATGTACAAAGGTTACTCATTTGTTTTTCTTCTTCAGGATGATGCTGTTCTCCTGCTTTAGGTGTTCTCTACACGCCACCGGCTAACAGTTAGTTTACATACAGCGAGTAACCGTCATTGATTTAATGTCAGCCAGCTAATGTGTTGAAAAATGTGTCAAATATATTCAAGGGCAATTAGAATAACTCGCTTACATCCCGTCTCTGTGGGACCGACTGTACGCGCATTTTAACGCTATGCATCAAAGTTAACATGAAATTGAACATACTTTGTTTTGATATTCAGAGACAGTGTGGCTGAAAGGAATAATAACAACACCATCACGCTGAAGGAGGAGGGGAACAAAAAGTATTTGTATATTTTATATCCCTTCATGGGGAAAAAGGCTGATATGGAATTACATTTTTTTTTTCAAAACAGGCATGGCTTTGCTGCAAATTGCAGCATAACAGGATTACATGCATACTCAGAGACATCAAAATTGGCCACCCGAGGGCCAAAATATCAATAATATTCCAACACTATCAAAACATCTTACCTGGTATATGAGGCACTAGAGGGTCGCGGGCCCTTGAGGACGTTAAATCCAATCTCACATCTAACACATTACTGTGGGGAAATGTCGGGAGTTTAATTCTCCTTTTACAGTGTTTTGGTAGAGAATATCCTGAGGCGAGACATTTCACAGTTTTAACGCTGATTGAGGAACGGATACCAGCAGAGGCCTTTTCGGTAACAGGCATCGTGGTGGGATACAATTAGTGTTTTAACAGAGGTTACAAGAGGACAAAACATGGGGCTGATTTGTCTTAGTTTGTCTCACAGAAGCTCATCCACTGGCTTCAATCCTTGTTTTAAATGGTCACTTTGGTATTTTTCAACCTGGACCATATTATCCATGTTTAACATGTTTCATGGACCATAACTTTTAACATTGGTCCAGTATTTAGCGAGAGCACTGCAGAGTTCAGCCGCGAAACATATTGTGATGTAATCGCTCGGAGCAACTCCTCGACATCAATGTACGTCCACGAAAAGTGTTTGTTTGTGCAACTGACAGGCTCAGATTGTTATTTCAAGTGTCTGACAACATTATGGAAAGGACCTTAAAGAGAAATAAAAAGGTTTTCTTTCCCCTTTTCATTTGATCCGGTCTGCGTGTTTGCTCGGAGAAGTCTCTTTCTAAAATCTCTCTCTCGAACTCTCACTCCAGTTTCTACCGTCTCGGCAACACAATAAAAAAACGAGCGGAAAAGTTAAGAAAAATGATGTGTTCTTTCTCTGTAGGGTCCCTTCTACAATGTTGCCAGACACTCTGAGCCTGTCGGTGGCAAAGACGAGCACTTTTAGTGGACGTACTTTGGCGATTACATTGCAGACCGTTTGGCTGCTGCCATCTGCACACCAGCGCTCTCCCTCAATACTGGACCAATTAAATAAAAATGATCTGCATTAGTCAATTAGACACAGAAACATGTTACCCTTGAAGATGTTGAACCAAAGTTGTTGCAGTGTTCTTGTCCCTCTGCAGCCTCAGTATTAAAATTGATGTCTGGCTGACTGGGTTTAAAATATCAAAAAGAAACTCTCAAAGAAGCAAACAATACATTATTTAAGCTACCCATATGTTTTGTGCTTTTTTTTTTTTAATGATCTCAGTATGAAACCATCTTGACTCTCACTCTGCTTGGTTGCCCATGAGCACGAACAGCGCACTTGAGAATCCTTTGTTTTGTAAATGGAGCTTGCATAATCCCGTCGCAGTCAGTGGTGGCTTTCTCCCACTGCGGCTGCACAGCTGCAGCCGTCCTCTTTAAGAGTTGACTGAGTTAAATCCTTAATGGTTAGATTAATGCATATGCGCCTGGTTTTCGATGTTTGGCGCCATCGGGGAGGCTGTTACCCAACGCTGAGCAGCTGTAATGGCTGTAAACGCCTCTGGAGCAAACATCTGGAAGTGACAGTAGACCAGAGAGAGGATTGGGTGGCTGAGGAGTGGTCAGGACGTCTAGAGCCCCGAAGTGCTTGACATTGGCAGAGTGATGTAGACAGACGGATGGATGGATGGATGGATGGACGGACGGATAAAACGATGCATGGTTTAATATTGAGAGTGGCTGAACAGAGAACACAGCTAATCCAGATCCCTAATACATACTGTGCGCATGATTTCCATATGTTAGAATAATCAAAAGATTGTCATACCGTGCTATAATTTCCATAAAGAAAATTAAACTGTCTCTGTCACTTCGGTAAGGCTTAAACTGACATTTTTTACATAATAGATAGATTTGGTGTATTTACAGCCAAAACGAACCCGCTCATCTGGCTTCCATCACCGCAGTGTGCGCAGGCTGGTTGGCTGAATTTTGGCAATGTGTTGAACAGAAGCATTCACACCTGCCAATAAACTGTCGCCTGTAATCGGACATGTGTGTATAATAGTGCCTGGTTGCATGCTCTGTGTTTTCTGTGTACTTTTAGAGTTTTTTTTCCACATTGTTCTAGTTCTAGTACATGCGCAAGTTGCAAAAGCTCTCACTGAGACGGACAAGCGTGTTTATATACTACAAGTCCTAATCTTAATGTTTGAAATTGGCACCACACATTTCACATGAGCCCTATGGCTTTATGTCACAAAGAAATACTATTGAATTGATTGCCATGAAATTTCGTACAGAAATTAATTTTTCTGACAAAATAAATCCAAATAACTTCGATAATCCTTTGACTTTTCTTTTAGTAAACACGGCAAGTCAAAGTTTTCAATTATCCATTCACAAGGTGTGAACCTACAGTATACTCGGATGATGGAAATGATGGGAGAAGGTTGTTTCCTCACCAGGGCAAACTCGTGCGAGACCCGCCCATCTGGGGGAAGCTTGGCGCCGAAGCCGAGTGCAGGAAACATCTTGTCGCTGTCGTAGTCCTGGATGATCTCTCCGACGGCCCGCAGCGCCATGGCGTAGTCGTTGAGGTGGTATGGGCTCATGTAGTGGAGCGAGGTGGGCTGGGACGGGTTGCCTGGGACCCGAATGGTTCAACACAATAACACACACATCAGCATCAAACTGTAATTATGCCTGCTGCCCCCTGGGCCGTGACTCATATTAAAATAAAAAAATAAATAAGGGAGTGGGTGGAAGGGGGTTCAAATGCAGAGTTTAGTGATAGTTACACAAACATTTCTCCAAGGCACAGCTGCACTGGAGGCTGAAAATGATCCCGAATGGTTGCCTCAAACCACAGCGGGTAGTGTGAAGAAGAGGAACCACAATTTATTCTGCATAGCTGAGTTACATGAAACCGCTGCTGCAGTTTAGCGACTACACAAATAAGATGATGAGCAACAGTGACCTGCTGACCACCCAAGAACTTCTATCCCACCGTCAGAAGTGAATGAAATCAGTCAACGTGATATTACTGTGATACTGAAATGATGCAGGATCAAGAACTCTTTCTTCTCCATTAGCAAGAAGAAGAATCTTCAAATCCAAACTACAAACAAGGAATGGCAAAAATGGTCAAAACAAAAGTCTGTCTTGTCTCATTTTTTTGGGAAATAACAACAAATAAAGATAAATACATGAGAGTAAATCCAATAACTGTAACCACAATAATGACATTAAAGGATAAGGTGTCTGAACCCATTCTTCCATTCGGTCTTCAGTTCTTTCTGAAGACCGAATAAATGTTTTTATCTAACGAATTATTCTGCTTCAATCCATATTTGTTGGCGTTAAGCCTTTCAAAAACACCATAAACTACATTCATACGACCACAATAATCCTCGTTTTTAGGGCGATGATGATGTCATATGATGACAGACATCCGAGGCTTCATTCGAAAAGTAAAACAATGACATTTGGTTCCACAAGAGCTCCCGTGTTCATCATAATGAAGGAACATGTTCAATGGTGTGGCTACTAAATGTGGTCTAAATAGTTTTCTGAACAACAATGGAGCTCAATAGCACTGAGGAATAAGATTTATCATGTTTAGGTTACAAAGATAATATTTGTTATAGGATATAAATTCATTGTGTTTTTTTTTGTTTGATATTCTTATTCTATAATGATGAGGCCTTGTCTTTTAATACGAATATGAATGAATGTGTACGAGCTTGTTGGATGCAATATTATAAAAGAAAGAAAGAATCTGTCATATTCTGACACAACGTATTAGTCGTTTTGAAAACAATTCTGCATATTGCCAACAAAAAACAGAAATAATGTAATTATACGCATAATATCAGTTATTTCAGCCATTCTCAAGGATGTGGAAAACTGATTTGATGGCAGTAAAGAAAGCCACCCATTCCTCCTGTGACATAATAATGTGTCCAAAATTGTATTACATATATTAACTTAGTACATTATGTCTCACGAAAATGAGAACATCACTCATCAGTGACAAAGTCTCCTGCGCTGGATTGCTCGTTGTGTTTGTTTGTCATTAAATTGTTGTCAATGACAAATGTACAGCAGTCTAACTGAGGGGCTTCATGAACACACAATTGGAAATGTAATTTGAAAGATGTGGGAGTAATGAGTTTCCCTCTACACCGAGGAGCAAATTGTACGAGTTGTGTTTAAAGAAAACTTCAAAATGAGCTCTTCAGAAGTTGCAAGTAATAGATAATGTTCACATAACTTTCCAACTTTTCAACTGTTTTGCCTTTTTTTTTTTGGTCATTAGAATAAGCCAATTAAAACTGACTGATAAGGAATCACTAAAGAGTTCACATCAAATAAAGATTGGAGTATTAACCACCAAAGTACACTTACGGGACTTCATTGATAACGGCAAAAGCTTTCAAACACTTACCATTTGATGCCGTGAAATCAATTGCCACTGTGAAGTTAATCTGAGTCCTACAAGAGAAAACAAATCACATGAGGGGTAACGGGGAACCATCAATCATGCTAGATTATACCACAGCATGTTTCAAAGCACACAGCAGCGAGCAATTAAGCAGCGGGTTATCGGCAGCTGTCACTCCTAATATTGGAGCTGTGATAAAAAAAAAAAAAGAATGCGGTGCGGTAATCCTCTCGGTGTGCAGAGTGAAGTCTACTCAACATTGAAAGTGTCTCTGGGTTTAATGATGAGAGTGATGCTGGTGCGTCATCTCCTCATTTATTGTGAACTCACCCGCCTCGGATGTAGTCCAGGAAGGAGAGCTCAGTGTCCACGAGGCAGGACAGGAGGGTGACCTGCCAGTCAGGAAACAGACAATAATCATGTGTTCACTGTGAACAGTGTCTGTTCATGTAGCACCATGTAATGGGCATCATTTTTGACATTTTGTGCTGGTAAAGATAGGTTCAACATGCGGTCATGCGGACCAAACCTGATCTTGCTTAAAATTTAAATTTCTCAGTGTTGCGTTGTTAGGATGAAAGACAATGAGGCATAAACGTGTAAATAAAGCCAAATAGCTGCTGTGACAGGTATTTCAGTTAAAACCTGAACCCACATAGGTTAAATCTACAAATGAATCATCATGAACTATTAATGGTAATCTGGAGCATGGGTATAAAGTGAAACACATCAATGAAAGCTGTCGACTCACCGATCCTGAGTTTTGGTACTTTTTCTTCTTCTTTCCTTTTTTCTTTGGATTGAGAACCTGTGGAGAAAACAGAAGCTTTTATACAACTTTGTTTAATTTCCGTGTTCACATTGTTTGAGTTCACTAGCCACTGCTTCCAAAAGAAGTCAGAATAAATGTATCAGAAGCTTTGAACATCTCTGTGAAAGAGAAGGGAGCGTCCCTACTCGTCTCTATGGATCATTTTATTCTTTATACTGTGAGTCAGGGTCACAGGGATATTGTTTTTAGGGCGGCACGATTTGGGCCTGCCTGTCTTTTCGTCCTACAACTTTAACCCTTTCACGGTTTGTTTTCAGTTCATTTAAAAGGTAGTTGTAACCTTTTTGGTCGCCTAAAAATGTTTCCTTCGGTTGTACTTAGCTCCACCCTCTCGTCTCACTTCTGGTTGCAAAAGAAACAAGATGGCGACGGACAAAAAGCTGAACTCGAGGCTTCAAAACGGCAGTCCGCTTCTTACATAAAGTCTACGGTGGAACGACGTGATAACTCCTCAAAAGTAAAACCAAAACATCTCAATAGCCGGCTGGTGGTTGGCTGTTACTTTTGGAAGCCAAAAATCGTGATCACAATTAAAATATGATTAATTGTGCAGCCCAAATTGTTTGTTCTATTTCAAGCTATTGCACTCTTTTCTCACTCGACATGAGTGCTCCACTGAGGCTTCTTGCACTTTGCCTAAATTTGAAGCTACCAGAGCAAAATTAGCTGGGCGATGTCTCAGGACTCTCCTTTCTCCTCCGACTGTCTGCACCTCAGACGTGTGAAAAGGTCGACAGACGGAAAAAAAAACACTTCATGGAGATTAAAACGAAATGAACGTTTAAGAGTCAAGAAGAGGTGGAAGGAGTCTGGATAAAATCCAGCCGAATTGAAAGGTGACACGAGTGTGACGATGTTGATATCACATGTTGCGTCACACGTGTGGAGGCAGAAGGCCCGGCTCCTCCTGCTCCTCTGCGCTAAGTGATTCAGGTTGTGCTTCATAAGCACCTCTCACTGAATCTTGACCTTCAGTGAGTAATGGTTTGCTCACATGCAGCTGGTGTGGAAGTTAATTGGACCGGGTCAGTGAACCGCACTGAGCTTTAGAAGAAGACACAGAAGACGGTCTTTTGAGGAACCGCTGGTGGCGTCTATTCAACTCAAGGACACAGCATCCTGTGAATAATCACACAAGTCGATGTAGAACTGCTGATGTGTTACTCCATGTCAGTGTGTACCGACTGGAAATATAGACCGGAACGGCAGGTTGAACAAGCAAGCCTGCATTTCTGCATTTTACTACTGTATTTTATTTATTATTATTTATTACACTGCTTTTTAATGTTTCAATGAATGTCCTTAATTGTTTTTAAATCTCCTTTTCTTTTGCCTTATGTTTTGATGCTTTTAATGGTTTTATGTGAAGCACTTTGAATTACCGTGTTGTTGAAATGTGCTTTACAAATAAACTTGCCTTGCCTTCAGAATCAATATCAAAACTGCAGATTAAGTATGAGGTAGGGGGGACAGAGCACTAGCTCATCTTGAGGAAGGATCTGGAATAAGTTGGCCGTGCTCAAGCACTAAATTAATGTTGAATCAGTCAATTTTGAATAACCAGGTCAAGGTAATGTGACATGGTTGATTTCAATAAGCAAAGTATGAGTCCATGCATGCATTTGTCCAGTTTTAGTCAAGATATATGCTGTCCACATCCGCCTCGAGAGACACAAGGCAAGAGGAGAATTTATGTTCACATTATAGTGGAAAACAAAATCAATTTCTTTCCTGACGGCTCCTCCGTTACGTTGTATGTCTTTGGGGTATTTTTCTGACCTTGGTCCTGTGCTCATGTGCAGTATGTGTGGGCAGCACTACGACAAACGCTCAAAACTTTGAACACAAGCTGAGCTGACCTTTGTGAGCTCAGCCTGGTGCCGTATGGTAGTACTTGTGCTGGAGGGAACCCACGCTGAGGACATTTTCCCCACCGGGTTAACAAACCAGTGTTACAGATAACCTGTACACCCGACGATTTACAAGAGCGCCTGTCCACCGCCTGCAACATGAGGTGAAGTCTGACTCCTGCTACTCTGCTGCTGCACGGAGCAACTTTCACTGTGTAATTGTGGCGTCTCTCCTCCGACTTAAAAGTTTTTTTGCATATCGCGGGCGCTGATACGCAAAAAATGAAAAAACTGGGTTTTATTTCTATTAAAAATATAAAGCCCAAACACTGTGTAACACCGACTACAGCGGCAAGCCTCTTGTGCTGTAACTTAACATTGAGGAGAGTTTAATGTATGTTTTTTAATCTTCCAGACCAAGATAATAATAAATGATCATATATTAACATGGCTACGGCTGAGCTGGTGGCTAGCAGCTAACAGTGCTAACAATGGCAGTGTAACAATGTAATCGTTGTAATGAGTGCAGAGCACAGTGCCGATCCCCCGAGTTAACTACTTTTCCTCACTGGCTAACTACTCCATGTCCCTGGTCCTCACTTAGTCAAAGGGCTGGCTGAGGGTTAAGACTTGGTTTTATGGTTATGCTTTGTATGAGGTAAGGGAAAGGACTAGAGGATAATAAATCCTCACTAGTATGGAAGTACAAGTGTGTGTGTATGTGTGAAGAGCATCACCTCATAGATGTGGAACTGTGACTGGCTTCTGGACATTTCTCTGTAGCTGGTGCTGAAGTCGCCAATAAAGTCATGGCTGTAAATAAGAAAAAGAAAAGAAACACACATACAGTCAAATTTCATCCCAACTGAAAAAACAACATGTTCTGTATTATAATGAGAAGCACTGTAGAGAATAAAAATAAAAGCCCATAATAACAAGAATCAAAGAACCCATAATAACAGTAAAAATGTTTGCTGGAGATTCAGATTTGATTCAGTTCTCTGTGTATTGATTCATCGAATGTGTGTTCACAATATCAACGCACAGGAGGAATCCATATCACGAACAAGCTCCTTGGATACCGGAGGTGTGCAGCAACCAATTTCCTAATTTCATGGAGATAATCAGCACGGTTGTAATCAGGGGCCAGAAATATGTTTAAAAAACGCCCTTGAAGTGTCAGAAAAACTGTGAAATTAGCTCAAAGACGAGGCGAACTGTGCTCCTGAACACTGGGAATGCACTTGCTTCAAAAGATAAACAGTTAGTCTGTCAAGAGACCGTTCAAGCAGTATTAATAGTTAATGTGTATCTAAAGCAGTAGGGAGTGTTGTCACATGAAGAGCTCTGCAGGGACCTTGTTCTACAGTATCTGCTCTGAAGAGGCTGCATCAGGACAAACATATTGGAGAGAGACTTTAATCCAAAATGCCGCTCCGTACTTTGAATATATGCTTTTGCATTTTTGGCAGTTTTTTTTCTGTCATCAGGCGAAACATCGTTATGTCTTAGAATGGCAATGTAGGATTATAAAGAAATAATAAAGTAATTACTACATACTCTGCTCCAGGGCCTTGTTGCAAATATATGTTGTGTTTATTCCACAGCGGGAGGCAATAAAGTGATGCCACTGTTCAGATGGACGGAGCATCGTAACATACAGAGCAGTACGGACATTAAGTGTAACGGGACAAAAGAAAGAGATTGTTCCGCTCACCCTCCGTCTCTGTCCCAGTCGTACACCTCCACCTTAATGCTCCTGCAGGGAAAGAGAAGAGGGATGAGGGGAAGGGGAGGAGAATCCCATTAAAAAACTAATTAGCACTACTGATTTACAGCCTTTCTGCTTAAAAAGATGGTAGCTGGTCCGTGGAAGGCTTGGGGGGCAGAAAGTGGACAAGCCTACATAACGCAGAGAGGTAATTTATCAGTATACCCTGGTGTAGCTCCGGCAAATAAAAAAAGAATTTTGAAAAGATAGAAAATAAATAAGAAGTAGGAAGCGCTCCACCCCCGAGGCTGCCCAGTCCTCCGAATCTGTATTGGAATGAAATAACCAACGAGTCTTATGACGCTGTTAGTGAAGGTATCGATGGGAAATATGACCTGCGAGTGTTTATGGCATCAGAGGAATGAAGCCGGGTGTTAGATCACAGGTCAAAAATACTGTAACTCAAACTTCGGCTGACGTGAGGCATCCATGTTTGTCCCTGTTAATATGGGCTCTGTGCTCTTTCAGGGTAAAAATTAGGAACCGAGCGGAATCGGTTGAGCTGAAACAAGATAAATTTCTATATCAACAGAAAACCAGATTTCTGTTGAGGAAGCTTTATATTAGCTAAATTTAGCAACCTAAAACCTTGTTACAAACACAGGACGGTGCTACTCTCAGTGTGCTTTTTAAGTAGTTAACTACTTTAACTTTTCACTGCTAGATTGAAGCACCACGTCGCCTGAGCCAGTTTGTCCTACTGAAAGGTGTCAGCACTTGTTAGTGTAACATTTGGAAATGTTGAGTAGCTGAAGGAAGTAAACACTGTAGTTCTTATCTTTTCAGCAGTGTACTCTTTATCTAACAGGTGGAATGCTTGGTATGCAACATTACATTTCTACAGAAATAGTGAAACAAAGAAGTTCTGCTAGTTCTAGTTGTATGTCAAGTATAGGTCAAGTATTTATAAATCAAACTCCCTCTTTTTCTTGTATTTATTCTACAGAAGTCTTTGAGTCTAGCTGTAAACATGGTCAGTGGGTTCATCTACTGTACCTGTCGTAGTCTCCGTTACACAGCGCCCTGACAGGAATTTTAAAAGCCTGCCACACGGGATCCAGAGTGTTCTTCACCACCTCTGTTTTGTGGCAGATGGTGTACCTGAGAGAGAAACACACAGAGCTGTTAACAGAGGACACATTTGCCTTAAAAGTCCAACTGAAATCACATTAAGGGATTCCTTTTTGTAGTCAAAAATTATGTATTGTTAAAGTTTCTTATCATTAAAAGGACAAAAAATGGTATTTGGGTAAATATCAGAAAAGCTCCTTTTCGTATCAGATGGCTGGTTTCCATCTCCATCTTAACAGTGCAGCTATGTATGCTGCACCACACAAAAACTACTTTAAGGTTAAACAAAACAACCCTGTGTGCACCTCCTCTCTCTGTTACTTCACGAGGCCCGGTCTTTGGCTGAAATAACAGCTTCCTGTTCTTTTCTGTGCGACACCTCGTCCGGCTCTTTGTAACCGCAGCGTGCTGCTGTTACGCCCTGCGGCTGAACATTTAGGCTGCATCAGTAAATACCCAGCTGCACAAAAAGAGAATGTGTGTCTCCACCAAGACGCTGAAGTTGACTTAAATAAAAAGCCTCTGCGGGGCAAAGAGAGTGCGACCTCCACACACGTTTTTCACTTAACTCCATCTTATCCGTCCTTTCCTCCCTTTACGTTCCTCTTTGTCAACTCTGTCCTATTATCTCTGCTCATCCCTCTTTCTGCTGCTTTGTCCCATTAACGTCTGGACGGGGAAAGTCTCGGCATACAGCACCGAGGATTATGTAACATCACATAGGCAGTTTAGACCCTATAATATCCTCTGTATGGGAGCTTTTTGGAGCATGATAAATCACTCTCAGAGTCTCTATGCATTTCAGGCATGTTTACTTGCTGTGCGTGTGTGTGTGTGTGTGTGTGTGTGTGTGTGTGTGTGTGTGTGTGTG